CAGGTTTCCATGTGAAGAAACTTGGCTTAAAAAGGAGAATTAGAAGTTATTATTGAAAAAAAGCAAAACAAAACTCATGCGTGTGTTTTTTGGGAAGCAACCATAACCAGTATGTAGTTCTTGACGAGCTCTGTATAGTAGTATGCTTACTCGTTCGGATTACTTGTGTTTCCGCTTCAGAATAGGACTCAAAAGAAAATTTTTGCGTTCGAAGAATTATTGTCCGCGACATTGTGACGCGGCCATTTTCGGACTTTTTCTAGAAAAAGTTTTTTAAAACTTTTAGAATACATGGTTTTCGAAAAACGCAAAGTGTAGATTGTAGATCTTGAGGAGCTCTATCACTTCATGCAATTACTACATTTTTTTATCCTTGTTTTCCTTCTGAAAAAGAGCGATGAAAAAGGGAGGGAGGCTTGTCCGCAACTTTTTGGCGGTCACTGTACATAATATCATGAACATGCTTTTTCAGCGTTTGTTGAAAATTCTTTTTTTCAAGGTGTCACAAATTAATGAATTGACAGAAGAGCACAGCGAAAATCGGCCACAAAAACTGCGCAAGCAACTTGTTACTAATTGAAATAATTTTTGAAGTTTTTTGAAAAATTCAAATCGGCCTCAAAAAACAATTTTTTTTAACTTTTGAGGTATTAAACTGCAAAAATTTTGGAAAATTTTTTCGAACATTCTTCGGAAAGCATTCGAAGAAAAAATACTTGTTGCGATTTTCATCATGTTGCAACAGAAAGAAGCAGCTTTTCACATCTCAAAATGATAATTACAAAAAAAGCTGTTATTTTTGCAGAGATTTTTTGAACATCTTAAAGCTCATTTTTTGGTTTTTCAAATGTGCTCGTGCTTTCCTAGAAGTGCATTCTTACAAGACACAGTACCTTGAAAAACAAGAAATCCAGTCTCAAATTTTTTCATCTAGAAATCCATTCCAACATTTGAAACAAGCATAAGCAGCAACAAACCGTAAGCATGACATCTGCCCAAACCGTGTCAAATCGCCCCAAGAATCCTTTTCTGAACATGCTCCAGCCTGCGCTAAATAAGGAACCTTTTGTATTAGCATCAACTCACCTAAAGGGTATTGCATGGCGAAAGCGCAGAAGCAGTATAGGTTGAGCGCGCACATATCTCCACCGTTATAAATCATGCGTCTCATGCGCTCTGCGGCTAATAAAACCACGCGTGCCCCCAATGGTATTGTGCGTTCATCATGCATCATCCTCAGGGTCCACATGAAGTGTGACACAAATAGAAAAAATTGTACAGGGGCAAAAGTCTGGGAGCCTAATTTGCAGTGCTGTAAATCAAGAGACTACTAACGATTTTGACTCCATTTGTGCCACATATTGCTGCGATCATCCTCTACAAATCACACTTTGGCTGGCTGAAAATGCTTGCCATATGTTTTGTAGGAGTTGGATTTATCAAATAAGTGCTCTGCAAAGTGAGAAAATCGAAATTTTTGGTCTTTACAACTTATTTCGTATTTAAAGATACAGTCTATATTCTGAGGAACTTCGCTGCATATAATGTAGAGGAGACTTTGCGCCATCAATTCGTAGTCGTTGCGTTTGTCAGATACCATTCTTTCGAAAACGCATTTGCGAGTACCTGCGTGCCAGTGGCCATTTTTCTTCAAAATGAATTTGAAAGCTATAGGAGCACAGCAGGCATTGAATTCTAGGCTTTATTCTTTCCAAGAATCTTCTATGCAAGCATGTACATGAGTTCGATCAATTAAGCAATTTCAATACTTTTCAGATTACGATTCTTCGCTTCCGCAATCGCATTCACATTTCCAGTATACGAGTACACCTGCTTTCATTGAAAATTCCAAAATTTTTTTCCTTAGCACTCTAAAATTTCTTCACAGTACGTTGTAGCCAAGAGCTTGCTCTATCACACCGTACATTTGCCTGGTGAAAGAAACAGTCATCGTAAAGGCATGGGACGAATTTCATCACGACTGTCTGCGTGCCACGACGGACTCGCTAAGACTTCGAAGGGCTGCTTTGAAGCCAGAAGAGGCAATCTTGAAATTTGAGAGCAGCGCTGTATTTGTAAAGGTTCATTTATGAGTGCACCGGATTTTTTGTTCCTAGGCACTTTTTTTCTGATTTTATCTGAAAAAGTACTAGGCTACCAGACTTTTGCCCCACCCTGTATAACTTTGCATGGACTGAATGAAATCAAAAGCTTTTGTCCTCACCTGATAGAAAAGAGAATGAATAAGAACTTCTGGCTAACTTCTGAGATACATATTCGGGTTGTTTCAAAATCGTTTTTTCTCCTTCAAACCTCTTCCGAAATTTCTTCGACTTGCGCGCAATGGTTCTGCTCCCAAACTCTCACCAATTTTCTCGTCGGCAAATCAAATGACAAGGGTTTTAAAGGGCAGACTCTTTCCTTTCAAGCAGATGAAAAGGAGTGCTTGTAGGTTTAAGGACGAGCGAGCTGGAGGGCCAAATATCATTTTTTTTCTTCCATGTTCAAACGATCTATTCACAACTGCAATTTCTTCTTTTCACTGTGGACCGGTGTCTGGTCATGCTAAAAGTTCCCAAAAGCGTTTATAGTATTTTCCTTGATCCAATGTGTTACAGCCTTCAAAGTTTGTTTTCGATGCTTCTGCCAGAATCTCGGAAAATTGCGATCTCACTGCATTTGAAAAACCTTCGAGCTTGTAGAAAAGTTTGTAACTCGCACACTCGTTTGCCTGCCACGCGGGGCTTATATGTTGATACCTCAAACTTGGGTAATTAAACCCTTTATCAAATTTATGCACAACAATAACAACGAACAATTGTGTGAACAACTGCAAACAAAACATTCTCAAGATACAAATAGAACAATTAATAAATTCACTTGTAATTCAATAAACTTGTGAGACTTTTCATTGATCAGTGTTCTTGCAATGCTGGCCCCTCCTTATATAGCCTGCAGGGTGGGTTCATAGTACGCGCCTAATCCATCGCTTTGCTCTACTTGCCTCTGAAAGTCGCCTGTGGCGACAGAGCTTGACCATGTTTTACTAAGCCGAAGCCGGAAACAACCACACGGGACAAAAGATTATGGAGAAGATGACTACTATCAAAACATGGAGTGAAAAAGACTAAAAAATTTTTTTTTGCAGCCAGTCAAACATCATGTGAGCCACATATAAAAAACCATTGTTCGGCCTTTCCACTCGAACATTCTTGAACCCACGAATTCTCTTCCTGATCTATCTGTAAGCAAAACGTTCGCTCTTCCAGACACATTTCATTGGATATGCTGAAAGGAGGTCCTGGGACGAAAGCCATCGCGTCAAAAACCATTGCGCGCATTTTGGAATTTTCTCCGAGTAGAATAAATTCTTTCCTCTAAGCCAAAGGTGGATATCTCAAAAGTAATTTACAATGTCCTATACAGAAATTTCTTGTCTATCAAATGAAAACAATAGCTTTCAATTCCATTGAGTTTCAGCAAAGTTACGAAAGCTTTTGTGCGTCACATTTCATGTGGAACACCCTGTATACATGGCTTGCCTTCAATCGCCGCATCATTCACAACGATAGGACATAGTTTATCTGAATTTGCCGATACGATATCACAGACTTCCGCACCAGTCGCCGTCAATCTTATATATAAAGCTGAATGTCTGTTTGTCTGTATGTCTTCTGTATGTATGTACATATGTTCCAAATAGAAAATTCATTTCTCAACCGATCAGGACCAAATTTGGCACACATACAGGCTGTCCCAAAAAATGTACCTACTGTTTGATTGTAAATAACTTCTTGTAATGAAGTGTTTCGAGAAGCTTTAGGTACCTTTTTGTAAAGCGAGATTCAACTTAGATTTACAGTATGGAACGAATCATCGATCGCTTTCCATTATTATAGGATGATTACTTTAAGAACTTCCAGCATATGGAACCATTGTGAAATATACCACCTAACAAAATTTTTCAAAAAATCTGAAGAATCGCGTACTAGGGTTTTCGCGCATTCTGACTCCACCTAACAACTTTTTACGTTTGTCTTCAGCTTTTTTGTCGGTGTAGTTACATTTCTGACAATTGCTGGGAACTGAGTTATTACGATTTACCGGGGATAACTTAGCAAAGAAGCATCACAGTAAAATGAGAATTTCAAATTCGAATTCAGCGGCTTCCATTACCTTCGTATAAGAGTTTTTGGCTTTTTTGGTTCTGTTCCGAAGCAGAAGCCTACAATGGCCTAAAATCCTCGTCGAAGTTCGTACCTAATCCTACAGAAACGAAGCGTGATCGATGATTCGCTTCATACTGTAAATCTGAACTTGACCTCGCTTTACAAAATGGTACCTGAAGCTTCTCGAAACACTTCATCACAAGGGAGTTATTTACAGTCAAACAGTAAGTACATTTTTGGGACACCCTGTACACTTCGGAGCGGGGCGGGTGCCATAGGCTATCTTTCGTCATCGATCGATATCAATTTCACCTATTTTTATCGATTTTTTGTAAAGTCTGAACTGCGGGGCTGGGAGCTGGTACAGGGAAGGGGGGAGGGGGGGGGGGGGGTAATCAAGCATGCTGATTACAAATACAAAATTAATTTTCGAAATTATTCGTTACTTTTATCGACTTTATCAATTTTTAGCGGTTTAAAGTTTGTACGGGGGTAGGAGTTGGCACAGGGGAGGGTAATTGAGCATGCTGATTACTAACACAGCGGAAATAGGCAATTGGCGTGTAGAAGCGGGCACAGGGAAAGGTTGTACAGGGATAGGGATAGGACCTTTGCCATAGTGTTTTGGAGGGCCGGGCGGAGCCGGGAAGTCAGCTAGTAAAATCACAAAAAGATTCCTTTGTAAACACATAGCACTAGTTATGAAAGGACTTTGTTGCTTGGCAAGGCATTCAAGTGACTATCAAAAAGTGACAATGGAAACGAGCGTCAGCCCTGCGCTATGTCATCTGTCTTTGTATTTGAATGATTAACGGTAACTTGCTTTGAAGGATGGAAAAATTAACAAGTTTCAGCGTCTTCGGTGAGAGTAATAATGTCGAATTAGAACAGAAAACTGATCAGACAACAACTGTGAGTTGCGAATGTACTTATCAAGGCAATGCTGCATTAGTTATTCCAGGACATTGAAATCAAAAAAAGGCCATGGAGGTTTCGTGTAGAAGTTTCGCCACTGGCGGGAAGCTACATTGGAATAAAAAAGGAAGAGGAAATTTATATAGCTGAAAGAGGTTTGTCATCGAGTAGCGCCATCATAGAAACTGCTAAGGCGAATGCTAGAATGTATGCACGACCTTCTTGCAAAGAAAGAACGCGGCGCACGATCTCATAGTTATATCTCTCACATATTATGTCAATGATTATGTTCGAAGACCTGCACGCCACATTTAGGCAGCTGCTGTTTTTTTTCAACGTGATCACAACAATAAGCGCATTCGATACTTACTTAGATACTTAGATGGCCCGGCTTCACGTGACGTGCGGGCCCCAGCACAGAAGTTTCTTTCGAACCCTGTCCCTCGCCTCAGACACCACAATCTTTTTGGCTGACGTCGGTGGCTGCGTTCACGAGTTCCAGGTGCAAAAATCGTATCCAGCTGATTTCTTAGCTGGTCCATCCGTTCTACGAACACGTCTGCCCATCTCGTTGGAGGTCTTCCTCGAGGGGGTTTTGCTTCGCGAGAAATCCACTCCGATGTCCTCAGGGTCCATCTGTGTCTTTTTTTCTCATAATGTGACCGGCCCATCGATGCTTCGCTTTTGCAAAGTAATCCGCTGGGTCACGAAGACGGGACATCCTTCTCATATCCGTATTGCGAAGTCCGACAAGATATTGCTTGTGTTGGATCATCTTTAAAAGACGGCGTTCTAGCGCTCTGGGGTGGTCCTTAAGGCTTTTGACGTGGCTACAGTGTCTACCCAAGTCTCAGCTGGGTAACGAGCGCCGGGAGAATGGTTGAGTGGAATAGGTGGGCACGGAGCTCCGGGTCCGTCAGTTGGTCGGTGGCTCCCTTCAGAGGCCTGAAAGCGGTCCAGGCTGCTCTTCTTTTCCTGTTAAGTGCCTCTCTTAAATCGTTCTTCGTGTTCAACGAACGTCCGAGATACAGGTAAGACGGCGTCCATGATAGGGTGCTTTCAATTCCATTTCTGCATCCTTGCAAAGGAGTTTTTTCAAGGACTTGAAATCTTCCGATTTATTCGCAATCCGATCTTTTTCCCTGCTCCGTTGGTTCCTTTGGCGTCGTCTCTGCTTTACTGATACTGCTCGAGAAGACAACGATGTCGTCCGCAAAACGACTCTCGTACTGACTTCATCACTCACTGCAAGGCCGCGGTGAACAGCTTCGGCGAAATTGTGTCGCCTTGTTGGACCTCCTTCCCAATTGGGATGGTGGTCAGGGGACGATGGAACAGCTGCATCGTCGTTGCACAGTCCTTATAGCAGTCGGCTAACGTTCTCATAAGTTGGGTTCACTCCTTGATCGACTAGCGCTGACAGGATGGCGTTGGTTTCGACGCTGTCAAAGGCTTTCTTGTGGTAGACGAAGGTCAGGAAGAGAGGCAGTTTTCCTGGCAGACCTCTATGACCCTCGAAACCGTCTGGATGTGGCCCATGCAGCTGAATCCTTTGCGAAATCCAGCTTGTTCTTGAGGTTGGGCTTCATCTAGTGTCCTAGATATGCGAGCGAGGATGATCTTCGTGAAAAGCTTGTACAGCACACTCAGCAGGCATATTGGACGGTGCTTCCGAAGATCCTTCCGTTCACCCTTCTTGAAAAGAAGGACGGTTTTTGACGTTCTCCACCGGTCGGGAATCCTCTCCTTCTGAACGTAAGATGCCAGGCGCGACGCGAGAATCTCGTGTAGGCGTTATCCTCCGGCTCGCAGTAATTCGACGGCAAGATGGTCTGGTCCTGGAGCCGTGGATGTCTTCATGGTCTGAATCGCCGTGCGCACTTCAGCAGGTAGAACTCGTGGTGGTACTTTTCCAGTGGGAACAACGGGCATCGGCATGGTGTTAATGAGCGGAAGAGCATGGTGTAGAAGTTCTTCGCGATGGGTTTCATCTTGTATCGGGAAGATGTCGGAGTCCCGTCTTTGTTCAATAGTGCAGCCAGCGGTACGTGATATCACAGAGGTCCCTTCGGCACTTCTTGAGACTTCGCCTTTCTTCGGCTGCTTCCAGAATCTTGGCTTGCCTGTACTTTCTGAGATCCTCCTGCAAAGCTGTTCTGCAACTGGCGTTGGCTATCAGTCGCTCGAGATGGGTTGCATTCGGATCCTGCCTCAAAAATCTTCTTCTTTCGGGCAATTCCTTGGTGGTCTTTGAAATATGTTCCAAATTCTTCTCAGAAGTCACTGAGGCGCACTCTCCGCAGGCTCGCAATCCTTTCAGAAGCCGGTCGTCGTCGTATTTTGGGTTCTCCTCGATGGGCCAGTCACAACTTGATAAGAGCTCCTCCAGCCTGTCACCGTCATAAACGACATTATTTTCCTTCTTGCTGCACTGTGGCAGACCTGCTTCAGCTTTTGACTGAATCGTATCTTCGCTCGAAGGAGGCGGTGATCGGAGCCACTGCAGAAGGATGGAGCTTCTGAGACATCGAGCAAGCTCCATCTTCGTTTAGCGAGAATGTGGTCGATATCCGCGTGAGTCCGTTCCGTTGGGTGATTCCCATGTCCACCGGCGATGTTCTTTCTTTATGAAGATGGAATTTCCATGGAAAAATCGTGCGGCGGAGAGAGGCCCAAAAAGACGATTGCCGTTTTCGTTCCGGAGCCCATATCCAAACTTCCCGATTATATTCCTTTTCCAGTGGCATCCCTTCGCTTGAAAATGCCCATAACAAACTTGTAAAAGGACTTCTCGTTGCGGACGACCTCCTCCTTTCTACGAACCATCTTCGTAGAAAGCATCTAGTCCTGATTCGTCAGCTGCTGATGTTGGAGAATAGCAATTGATGATGCTGTTGGTCTTCTGACGTGGAGCAGTCGTAGGATGCCTAGACGAGGTGATAGGATCTCCTGCGAATCGAGATGGACGATAGATGGCTGAACGACAAAGCCGACGCCTCCGTTTCGTGATGGAACCTTTTCATCGCGAATAATGAGGATCCCATCACTTCTGCCGCACGTCCTTCTTCCTGGACTTCGTTTCCAGCAGAGCGATAATGTGGTACTTAAAGTGCTCTGCAGCGTAACAGATTAACACTTCAGACCACAGGGCCCATCAGTAACCTGAAAATATTTCGCAAACTCAATTTTGCAAAACATGCTCTGGTCCGAAATGGCAGTCAGCAAAAAATTGGCCCTGTCGTGAATGTTTAAGCTTTTTATAGCGTCTATGAGGCTAATGTGTCAGAAAGAAATTAGTGTTTGGCTCGAGTTTGACATTTTCCAAACCATTTTCGATGGGCTGCGAGAGCATTTTGGGATTGCTCAAACACTATTCAGTTGTATTTATTCCAGAATTTTCATAGAATCTTGTTTGTTTCTAGCGATGATCCAGGATATCTTTTGTTCAAACTGTTTCCACCATGCAAATTTAGCTTGAAAAAGATATGAATAATGGCTTGAAGTACTTCTGTCGCTTGCTTCGCTTGGAATCCCTAGCGCACTTTCTGTTCTGGACAGACTAATTTGTTCATTATGTTCATTGAAGAATGTCATTTTGATAGACGTTCATGTACTTTTGAAATTCATGAATTAAAAATAAGGTTATTACTAATTACATAACAAATTGAGCTTGCCTTGCTAGGTAAGCAGCACAATGTTGGTAAAACTGTTGAGCGTTTAAATGAAATTTGAATTTCTTGACACGTTGCGACTGATGGTATTGGCTGTTGACATACCATCAGTCAGTTGACAATACAAGTACAACAACAGCCTCAAATTCCACCCTTTAATCCACGCTAACGTGATTCGAAGCCTAACCAACCCTGCCTATTTTCGTTGGGTGGACTTCAGCAGTTTCAACTTTGAAGCGCATTCTCAGGAGTGACGCAGAAATTAGGGAGTGGCATTTAGCCTCTAATGTATTTGGTGGGTTTACTATCAAAACCATTAGAATATCTGACCAATGTCCACTTTTCCATACCACTGTCCTTGTATTTGCGCCGAGGATATACCATGTACTTCCTTCTATGTTTATGATAAAATTCTTACGATCTTAGAGTTCCAAATTTTCAATGAACCACTGTTCGAGAGGTGAGGTATACGGAAAAAATCACAGCTTGCGCAATTTATTTGTTTTGGAAGCATCCTTAGTAGTGGCATGTAGATCCTCAGTACAACTTTACGGCGTTCATATAATTCCTGGAAAGATAGACGACTTTAAAATCAAGGAGTGATTATCTGGGGATCCCTAAGCAATCACAAGAAACGGTGCAAAGCTCAGCTCGCATAACGATGTTCTGCCATCCAATACTCAACTATTAGGATATTAGAACCTTTTTAAAGTAAACATAAAAAGGAGAATGCAGATATCTAGAGTAGCAAAATATGACGCGTCACTCTCTGATCTCTCCTTCCCTTCTGAGCCTGTATGTACGTGCATACGGACCTAAATTGCTTCCCTAAGCGTGAAAAGCTGTACTTTTCCACAATGCTTTATACAACTTGTTTTTTAGTGCCCGCGGTCTCGCCTACAGAAGTCAAAGTAATCGTCCATGCTCACAATCAAGTGCACATCAGGTTCAAACCAATTCCAAATATCGCACTTTATGGTGAAGATAAAGGTTGCAAGGTAAGGCTTCAAAACCTCAGTGCCCAGCTAGTATACGCTCACTTGAGTGTGGTGGCTTACTCAGGGCCGCACGCACCAACACGCCCGCCGGGGAGGTTGCTCAAAAGAAGGCTTCATATCCTGACACTCTAGTTGTCCGGATTTCAAGCTGTCTACCTATCCTCACGTATTTCTACCATCTTTTATAAACATAGCGAGAAGCTGTACAAGCCGCTTTTTCCAGCTTTTTGTATGATCTCCTAATGATTCCCGAGGACGACCGTTTTTCCGGTAAAGTCATTCTTTATTCGAAGTTGACGAATCTTTTAAAAGCTGTATTGATTGTCTAGCCCAAGAGTGCTGACAAGGGTCAGAAATCGAAGTAGCCAATTCGAGCAAATTATACATTGTTAGATGCAGCATAAAGCGCTGACTCTAAATTTGCTTTCCTTATCTGCAGAGCGCTTTTGTGGATGAACTTATATGCCGTTATAGGTCATTATTTTGCCAAGAAATCGTGCGTGTGAAGGTCAAACTTGGCCGTACAAGGCCATTCTCGGCTCAGCGTTGAACCAAGACATGCAAGTAGGCCAATTCATATGAACCATGTCTAGGGATGAGCTGAAAGAGCAATAATGTGCCTAATCTAGCAACTTTTGTGTGCGATTTTTTCGCAGTAAAGCTGCTCATAACTTCGCCTACAAAGGCGCTCTGCAGATAGGGAAGGCAATTTGAAATCAGCGTTCTATGCGGCATCGAATGGTATGCAGCTTGTTTGGATTGGCCACTTCGACTTCTGACCATTCCGTTGTGAGCATCTTGCTAATAAGAACAAATGAGATTTGAAAATATCGAATTTTCCAATAAACCCCAACTTCGACTCGTGGTTCATTAATTTCATGACTTTAATACTCCGTTTATCCTTATCAAAACATGTCTTAGGCTGGGTTCATACCGATTCTCATGTTTCGGAACTGTCCCAGCACAGTTCCCGCACTGTGCTGGAACTGTTTCGGAACTGCGCTGCGTGCGCTGCAGCCGCCCCGTACGCGCTTTGAACGGCGGAAGTCGGGGAATTTTGACTGTTTTCAACGGATTCCCCTCATTTTAGGCTTATTCATTTACTCCGCTTTCCTTTTTGATCAGCAGTACTTCGAATTCAAAGCGAAGTTAAAGAATGAGCGCTTTTCTGCTCTGCGTTTGCGACAAAATGTGTGCTCTTGTGCTCGTCAATTTTCTCTTCGCTTTATTTCTACTCAGTTCTATTCCATTTGTTGCAGGAAGCCGCTGCGTAGACAGCCATCTGCCATGAGCCGGGGAGTGCAAGCAATTCTGAAATTGAATAAATTGGGACTTTTCTCTTCTTTTCTGATGAGGTTCGTTTTTGAGCATTCTCAGCCCCTTTACTTTTTGTATCTTGCTTCTCCGTTCCTTTTTTTTGTCCTGGTTTTCCTTGTGATGAGAAAAGCTGCGAAATTGAAGCGGGGTTGATAATGAACGCTATTCTGCTCCATGTATTCGGAAACATAAGCCGTTGTGCGCTCATCCATTCTTTCTCCGCTATTTTTCAAACCTACTTCATGCGTTCTAGAAAAGCGCTGCGTAATTTCTCGCTACTAAGGGACATAGACAGATCCCTAGAACAATGGAATAGGTCTGGACAGAAATGGAAGAGAAGATGGACGAGCGCACGAAGACCCATCTGCTCGGATACACGTAATAGAACAAGGTTTTTCAACCAGGCTTTAAGTTCGCAACCTTTTCTTATCCCTAGGAGAAGCGGGGTAGAAGAAAGAGTATGAAAAATGAGATATGCTATATGGAAAAAGAAAGGGGTTGAGAATGTCCATAACGAAACTCATCAAAAAAAGTCTCAATTTACGTAAATTCAGAATTGCTCGCCCGCACTAATTCATGGGAGATGGCTGTGTAAACTACACTGAGTTTCTTTTAACAAAAAGGAATCATTTTAAGCAAAAATAACAAAGAAAGAGAGAATGGACAAGCGCACGAAGGTCCATCTTTCTGGGTACATGAAACAGAACAGCGTTCAATCATCAACCTCGCTTCAAGTTCGCAGCTTTCCTCATCACAAGGAAAAGCAGACTAGAAGAAAGAACGGAGAAGCAACGATATGGAAAAAGGAAAGCGGCTGAGAATGCCCAAAGATGAGACTCATCAGAAAAAGGAACAAATTTGCCATTCCCGCATTTTCAGAATGTTCGCATGTTCTGATTCGGGACAGATGCGTGCGGAAACTATGCAGCGGCTTCTTGAAGCAAATGGAATAGGTTTGAGCAAAAAGAAAACGAAGCGAGTATGGACGAGCGCAATTTCGATTTCGTTTGAACAATTTCATCGGATAAAGAACAGAAAAGCACTCATTCTCCAACCCCGCTTCGAGTTCGAAGTTTTGCTAATCAAAAAGGGAAGCGGGATAGAGGAATAAGGCCCCAAAATGAGAGAAAGCTTTAAAAAAACCGTTGAGAACGGTCAAAATTCTCCAACTCCCTCCGTTCAAAACGGTGCGGGGCGGCTGCTCTACTGATTATTTAACCTAATAATGCTAAGGCTGGGTTCATACTGATTCTCATGTTCCGGAACTGTTCCCGCACAGTTACAGCACAGTGCTAGAACTGTGGGGAACAATTCCGGAACAGGAGAATTAGTATGAACCCAGCCTTAGCATTGTTAGGTTAAATAATCAGTAGACTTTGAAAGGTTTTCGGTGACTTCGAAGATAGGAAACTGTCTTTGAAGAAAAGACGGTCGACCGCCGGGATTAAAAGGATATTTCAAAAAATGAAGGATTCGGCTCTTCGATACCCTCTGCGGACCTGCGCCGAACGCACACTACTTCATAGTCGACGAGGCTACTAAATGCGTGCGGGCCTATTACAATAACTTACGGGGGCCAGCCGATTACTAAGTCAGTCTTTTATCCTCCCAGGTTATTGTACTACCAACTTATCGTCTTCGAAAGGTAGAGGCTTGGTTGGCCCAGGGGCGAGATCGAACCTGGGTCCGATCCGGTCATAGCGGCGCCTCTAGTCCCAGGATCGTACCAAATGCTGAAAATGCGGCTTGTACGCCTTTTAGCTCCTGTTCAAAATGCCCATAGTAAAGGATGGAGAAATACTTAGGATAGGTAGACAGCGCAAGATCTAGAAGTTTGGAGCTTCAGCTCAGACAATCACAGGCTTTCAGCCGGCAGCCACAAAGCCACCGCAAAAACCCACCAAAAGCGCGGTGGCTTCGTGGCTGCCGGCTGAGAGCCTGTGATTCTCTGAGAGGATATGAAGCTTTCATTTGAGCTGCGATCCCCTCCCCGACTGGGATGTTGATGCATGCGGCCCTTAGTCCAAGCTTCCAGTTTTTGCACTAAGTTCGGCTTGATCTAAAAGACGGTGGAGAAGGGAAAAAGGGGGAGGAGCGTGCGAAGTTGGAAGCACGCCGCCGAGTCAACGCAAAAATCGATTATTGGACTGTGTTACGAAGGGAGGGTGCCAATGGTCGTGCACTAAAGTGGTCAGTGTCAGTTATCCTGCTTCTGCCTTCTAAACTGTCGTGTCCAAACACCAGCGATAATAACTGCTTTATCGAGGGCGAAGTCACAAGAAGAATGATCATTACCCAAAAAGGGCAATGAGTAAAGCATGCGTAAACAAACAATGAGACTACAAACACATTTCTACATTACAGCAATGTCTACTGGTTTCTCTTGATCACGATCCGCGATATGTACTTTGAGATAAGATTTACAACAGTGTCGATTGGAAACGCTGACCGAATCCACTTGTATTTCCAAAGTTTTTCTGGAGGAAGTTATAGGGCATTTGAAAAATTGTGGCGATGGCGAGACCGCGCGCAACACGCACGCACTTCCACTTCTTGGCTTCTATCTCTAATCAGATAGTTTTTCTGCTAACATACGGTAGTAGTGAGACACTGGAAGTGACTGAGCTGAGCGTTGAGGTGATGCCTTTTTGTATAGGTGTTTTATGACCCTTTGTGCGCTAGGACCGCAGTCGACTCGTCGTCACGATTTCAAAAATGAACCATATGTGCTTTTGCACCGAGTCTGGCCAAAAAGGAAGTAGGTCTACACGCCATCACCCCGTGCGCTGTAGTATAGATATCTTTCAAGATGGTTAGTTTTGAATCCCTTGTGTTTTCCACTTTTGCTTTATCTCCAATGAGTTTATTTTTATAAGCTTAGCATCCATGATGTAAAGCATAGTTTTGCTATCTGGAAATATGGAGAATTAAGAAAATGATGCTTTTTACGTCAATATAATAAGGCATCCCTTGCTAAGCTCACTGCGAGCATCTTTTATGCTTCAATCAGTGTTTTATTAGGTATTATCTTTGTTTAGATTGCATCATTTTCATCATAACATTCATATAAAACGACTCCGAATTTTCAAATAGTAAAGGTGTGCTCTTACCTCAACGACCTCCAACATTCGATAGAACACGTTTGAAAAAAGCTTTGGAGTGAAGTAAAACCGAAAAACGAAGTGATCAGAACCTACACTCGCATTCTCTTACGAAGCTCGAACTGACCACTACACACAGCGGTAGCAAGTTGAGAGTGTGCCGATCGTTTCTTGGGTGGTCAAACTCGTTTCGAAAATCCGCCGTAGCTTCCTTCAAAGAAACATTCAGCAGAAGGTTAAGATTTGAAATTAGAATTTTAGCCAAGTGTGCCGGCATACTTATCTCAAAAGGCCGCTAAGCATCCTTGTTGAGCGTTCACTATCCAACACTACCAAATCTGGAAATAGGTCCATTCTAAGCCGCTGCCTTTGACATTCTCGAAAGAACGAAAGCACTCAAATGATACATGCAAGAAATAAAGATGCCATTATTTGATTTACCTTATTTTTATATCTCTGCTATCAAATTTTAAGAGCAGAGAAATTCTCATGTAAAGCAAAACGTCCGCTATGTGGGCAGCTCTGCAGAGCATATTAATCTTGCAATCAGATTTTTGGTGTTAATTTTTGCGGAATCTTGATGACAATGGAAGTTGAAAATATTAGGTTGGCACGAAAGTTCTGTCGTTTCATTTTCAAAAATTTGTAACCTTGCGCTGTTTCAACGGATTTGCTTGCCTGTAATTTTATTAGAAAGAGTAAGTCTTTCGCTTTCAAAAGCTGTCTTGCGGAGTTTCTGTTTCACATTGGGTGCGCAGATAAAATTGGAAAACTAAGACCACATAAGCTTTGATCATTTTAAGTTAGGTCGCCAAGAATCGGGAATGCTGCAGAAAAATCTGAAATCGTTAGTACATATGTTTTTTAGCCTGCTCTTTGCAACTGTGAAAAGCCTGTGCTGTTTGGACGTCTCTGTAAGAAGTTATGATTTTCGCGAAAATTGAGAAATTGATTAATTTTGGCGTTTTCCATAGTAAACTCGATATTCATAATCCTCACAGAGACGTCCAAACAGCACAAACTTCCACAGATGCAAAGGGTAGGCCAAAAAAATATGTACTGACGATTTCAGATTTTTTTGCAGCATTCCAGATTTTTGGTGACCTAACTTAAAATGGTCAAAGTTTACATGGTCTTAGTTTTCCATTTTTATCTCTGCACTCAGTGTGAAACGGAAGCTCCACATAACAATGATTGAAAGCGGAAGACCTATTCTTTCTAATATAATTACAAGCAAGCAAATCCGTTGAAATCTCGCAAAGTAACAAATTTTTGAAAATGAAACGACAGAACTTTTGCACCAGCCTAATAAAACAATCCCTTTCAAAATCACAGGAACGATTTTGGGGCTTTCTTTGCTTTAATGTAGATTATCGCTTCATCAAATCGCGTGTAATTTTTGCGACTCGCCTTACCAAATACGACCAACGTGTCCAACGCACGTCGTCTCAAGCGTGACGAAGATAAAAACCTCCTTGATTTCCAGCATTTTTATGAAGTCGCTTTCGTTTCATAGAAATGCCACACAAAATATCATTGGCGAAAGAGAACGTAGAAGCGTTCAATACGGATAATTTGTGATATTGGTCGTAATAAATATGAGTGCAGCGTCATTCGGAATGCATGTAAAAGAGCAGGGCGGGGGGGGGGGGGGGGAACAAATTCACAAATGTTGATAGTGCAAACGAAAATATAAGTTAAAGGCACCGTCCACCCTAAGTTGACGGTGTTGAGCTTTTGGCAGCATATAATAGTAGGGCCCCCTATCAATCCAATGCCCAAGTCGCGGCGCAAAGTGCCTCTTCGGAAGCGAGAAAATCGCTTCGGAATAGCGAAGATGCACGAGGACCCCCATCTATGCCCGCCCACTTGTCCGCGCCCATCCAGTCACCGTTCCCGAAAGCCGGCCTGTGGGTTCTCTGAAACGGAGATTATCGGGGTTTTCGCGCATTTCCGACTTCATATTCGAATCAGGGACATGAGAAGGCCCTGAAACGAGAAAAACGTGGACGTCAAAAATCTGGGTGCACTGTGCCTCTAAGCGGCATTCGCAATGAAGTTGTTAGAGCACAGTGATTAGCATAGTAAGTTCTTGTAATAATCGGTCTGTTAATTTTTGAACGGGAAACTAGTACACAGTAGAATTCCCAAAATTATGTTATGTTCTTTATGTTAAATTATGCTCTTTACGTTAACTCTTAAAAATGCATACTTCACGATCCAGTTGTCCTAGTACCATTTTGGATAACGACTTTTTTTGAGAGGGGTAGTACCGCACATAAATTCTCAAAATCAGGTTGGGAAACTTTTGCCCTCTTCTTTTAAAGATCATGAATCTTGCATTTACAAATTACCTTGAAAGAATGCTCTGCAAGAAAATTTATGGTCTTAACGATTCAAAAATGCCTAGTGCTAGAAACAAAATAAAGAAGATTACTCAAGATTGGCTTTTTCAAGGTCGGCTAAATCCCAAGCCTGTGATGTTAAGAAAGAAAGCGCTCTGTAAAATAATCTCTCTTTCTGTAACTTTTTCATTATTTTCGTAAAATTGCTCAAAAATGCACTTTTTGAGTAATTTTATTCATTTGCTTGTAACTCTCGCAATTTTAATCAGGGGTACTACTCTAGTGCGCAAAAGTTCCAGCCCTTGGAAAAAACGTCCAGATTTTTTAGACGCTACCTGAAAAATAAAAATTTTGAGATTTATTCGTTTGCTTATAACTCGTCCGTTTACTCATACTTGGTCGGCCTAAAGGTACTGCATCGCGTTAAAATATTTTGTAAAGACAAAAAAGTGTTTGCAAAAAAAGGGGAACGAACTTTCGGATAAACTTAAAAACAACATGTTGAATAATTTGTTACATCTAATTCATTGTTACAATTGTTTTGTTGTTATAATTTGTTGTTACATTCTTGTCTCACTCTGCCATGTATTTTTAGTCTGCATAAAAAACTTCGCACCTTGTGAAATAACACGGTAGAGCCGTATGGTTGGTGGGCTCGTTGGTGAGACGTGTGTTCCCGATGCATAGCATATTCTACGATACCCGTTGCTTCTCGCCCAAAAACAGATTTCAGCGTGCTTTCACGGTCTAGGCTCGGCCCTGATTATTGTCTTGTATGTAAAAAAATGTTAAGGTCGAAGTTTGCGAAAAGGAAAATATTCAAGCATGTATGACAGTTATTGCTCAGCCACAGACAGGAGAAGTGAAGCTTGAGAGACTACAGTCATCAAGTGAGTTTCTACTTCAAGCAAAACAAGCTATAATGAAGTTTCCCGCTTCAGAAGCATACAGCGTACGAGCCGCTTGTTCTACAAATATTGGCTTTGGACCTTATAGCAACTGGATTGCCTTTGACAATGCTGCGACGACAATAGAGCAAACAAAAAAGAAGACTACAGTAAGTGCTACTCAAGTGGGCAACTTGTCTAAATTAGCATATGTTACGGCATGATGGTTTCATGTTGTCACAGCGTTTCATTTGTTTGTTTATTTTCTCGTCTATTGAATATATGTGTGTTTTTTTTGCAACAAAAGAGAGTTTCGTAAGCCACAAAGGACTAGAGTACGGACAAGTAGATTCGACAAATGATATAATACATTTGGCGCAGAGTTTCGGTAAAATCTGAGGGTCTACGACTGACTGCGCCTGAAATACCGTTCTGGATGTGCAGTTTGGCATCTCAGGTATAGCTGAGGGTCGGCACGCCTTGGTTTGAAGCATTCTTGAAAACGAAGTGCCCCATGACTTGGCCAAATTTTACGAAGTCCCCTTTGATGTCAGAGTCAGTGGGAAAACCCTTATCCAATCAACGTAACAGATAAAAAGCGAACAAAGCGCATTTTGAGGCACCAATATATCAAAGATGCAAAAAAACATTTTTGACATGATTACAGCAGGCTCTATTATTGAGTACCAGCTGGCTTACCCAGCTCCGCCTGGCAGTGTCAAGACACGCTATGATATAGCTTTCTTCCCTATCCCTGTACAACCTTTCCCTGTGTCCACGTCTACACGCCGTTCCCTTTTTACCGCTGTTTTAGTAGTTTCGGCAATGTCGTGGCGATATCGCCACTAGAAGTATGCCCGTCAGAAAACTGCTCGCGATGGCACGCGATTTGTCACCCCTACAAACTAGCACGAATGCGGCGGGACCCACTTTTGCGCGGCGAATCAGAAACAATGTCCGGTGGAGTAATCGCACAGCGATAAATCGCGTAAGGTATGCCCGATGTCATACAGCGGCTATCAAGTTGTTGTAAAGCCAAAGAGTATCTTATATATAGTTGAACGTTTGCTTGTCTGTCTGCCTATTTGCCCGTACAGATGTTCCAAGCAGAAAATTATCTCTGATATCTAGGCCAAACTTTGCACGCACACAAAGTCGGGACGAGTGTTATAGGCTGCCTAACTTGTCGGTCAATATCAAATCTCGTCAATTTTTTTGTGGACCACTTGAGCCACGTGTTTGAGATTTGCTACGCGGTAGGGGGATAATCGATCATGATTACAAAAAGTGTATGCAGACACGCAGCTGCACATAGGAATGGGCAAGGAAGTTGTCTAAAAGTTAGCATGGTGATTATACCATTGTGAATCAACATGATTTTGCGAAGCCAGACATACCAGCTATCAAGAATATACCTTTTTGTGTTATTTGTGAACCTTGGCAACCATTGAGGCAAGCGCAACGATTGGCGATCGCCAATCGCTGAAGTTGGCGACTCACTTTACATAGCAATTGATTGCTGGCAAGTCTTTCCTTGTCCATTTGATGCGTCCCCAAATTAGCGATGGCGAATCGCTAATATCGGCAACTTTGTTTTCCATCGCGTACTGATCGCTAACAAGTTACCACATGTTTAATCAATACGCATCCAACACGTAGTCGCAGCCGATGAAACTCATTAGGCAGGCGCTATACTCCTCGAAGAGAACAGTACAATACCCCTTCGATCGATATGCATCCAACCGGTGTAAAATCGGGGATTTGATGCATATCGATCGAAGGGGCATTGTACTGTTCTCTTCGAGGAGTATACCGCCTGCCTAATGAGTTTCATTGCTTTTTTGCATCGAAGCTGTATCCATATTTTTTTAGCGAATCCAGTAATTCCGCTACACAATAAATTTGTAAACTAAAGGGTATCGTGGAGGTCGCGAATCCAGTGGGTAAAATTTGTCTTCACATGTGCTCTGCCTAGTTTTGCTATGCAGCAGTGCGGACGATTTTTTTTCCAAAGCATGCCTAGGCCTTTTTGCTATGCAAATGCAATATATGAACGCCGCGTGCATTGAACTGTAATTTGCTTCAATCTGCTATGATTAAGTGAGCATGTTCATCAGGATCTTTTATTAAATTTTGACAGATTTTGTTTGACTGTGCCCCATTTTATTGCTAAAAAATTAAGTAAAGTTATTGTTTCCAATCAAAGTAAATACTTATCTTACTTATCTGCCATTTTGTGTAAGGTCTGCAGGTCGCTACAAGCTTTTTGGGATCACACAGCGAAATGTATCGTACTACGATAACATTGCAAGCGTCCACTCTTTTGCTTTGCTACCCTAGGTAATATATATTCAATTTTATCAGATTGTGGATTTTTTGGGGTTTTTTGTGAAGATTGCATAAACATAGGGGAAGCTAAGCAAAGCGGTGATCTCGAATCGGCAATCTTATCAAATAAGAAAAAAGAGAGGAATATATTAGGTTGTCCCGAGGGTATTTTCGCTTTTTTCAAACAATCGCCACGGTCCGAAAAATAAACGTCCTTAGAAGATCTTAGAATCATTCGATGCAGTTTTTTATGCGCTTTCGCTTTCAAATGGTCATCATTACTAATAACTTGAAAGTTTCGCTTTCTTTAAACCTGGGCATAATTCGTATAGTAGAAGTGCTTCTGTGCCAAACAGGTTTGTTAGGTATGTTAGGATAACGCGTTCCTCGCCGAGGTTTCCTTCTCATGTGCCAAGATTTGGCATTTGATATCGAAATCGTCTCCACCATGCGAATCGTGCCTATGCTTGCCTAGAGGTGAAAACAATGTTTTACGCCTTTTATCTGCAAGATGTTCTTTTACGCGAGTACTAAGTGTTCCGCCAGTTTCTCCGATATAGATGGCGTTGCAGCTTAGACATTCTAACTGATATACTACTCCCATTGTTCACAGGGTATGTTCATCTTCTGGCATAACAATTTTTATGGTAGGAATGTTGAACGAAGGTTGGGAACTAGCAGGAGTGGAAATGGTGCTTGATGGCTTCGTTTCACGGGTGACGCTTTGAGCCATTTTCAGGCCTCTGAGGAAAACGAAAGGCGCCGAAACGTTAGGCCGTGATTGAAAATAAAGAACACCTAACAAACCTGTTTGGCACAGAAGCACTTCTACTATACGGGTCATCATTACATTGCAGTTTAACTAACGAGCTCTCAGAAAATAAACAAAAACTGCAACCCATAGTTTTTGCCATGGTCAATTTCCGGTATTTTTCTGAATTCCTGTAGTAATTTTCCGAAGGAGTCCAAGTCCTTCAAATAGAGCAAACAAAGTAGGATACAAAACAATTTCCTTCCCTTCCAAATCTTACTTTACAAAATTAGAAATATTTTTTTGATGCTATCAAATTCTACATTTCGTCAGCTTAAACCTCATAGAGCATCACTCGGGAAGCAACTCGGGTGATATTCGATGCAGCACCTTGTCCTCTTTCAGAGACATGTTTTTTGTTTTTGGTTCGTAAACTTTTAGAGGATAAAATCGACAAAATTCATGTTTTTGATGGCGCCCCAAGATGTACCCGAAAAATTCAAAATCTGATATTTCGAACCTGGAAACGCTCACTTGCCTTGTTAAACTAGTAATGAATCTTAATCTATCTTTAGGAGTATCAAAAACTGAGGATTTCTTAGAGTTTGACGAGTTTGCGTCTGTTATGGGTCTTAAAATTCGATAGTGCTGTTTAAAATCTTGTCAAAAAAATTATGAAGAGCTCTGGGAAGGAGAAAGAAATTGTTTTGTATCCTACTTCGTTTGCTCTATTTGAAGGTTACTGGGCTTCTTCGGAGAATCAGTACAAGAATTTAGAAAAATAGCGCAACTTGACCTTCGTAAAAAGCGTGGGTCGCAGTTTTTGGTGATTTTCTGAGAGCTTGTTTGTTGAACTGCAATGTAGAGATAACCATTTTAAAGAGCATCAAAACAGAAACTGCATCAAATGCTTCCAAGATCTTTCAAGAATGTTTGTTCTGCGGACCGTGGCGATTGTTTGAAGAAAGCGAAAATACTTTCGGGACGACCTAATATTTACAGGCGAACGTTTGTTCCAAAAATGGCTCCTTTGATATATAGGTTGCTTAAGTAGTTGGCTTTTGATGTAATTAACTGATTTTTGACAGTTTTAAAAGTTTATATCAGCTCATTATTTTGTTTCTTTGTAAGAGGGAAGGTCATGTATTGGGAAAAATGTTTGGAAGTAGACTAGTCTGGAATACTTGATCATTTTCGATTTCTGCCGATGAAAAGTTTTTGAGTCTATTTTTGTTGATCGTAAAAATTTTACTATCTTAGAAAGCTACCTAAACTAAAAACCTCGAAAAAAGAAAGCCAGCAGCCAGCACTTCCAGCACTTCTTTTCGAATTTCAGGCTAACTTTTCAAGAATTTTTTATGACCGCAGCCAAAATGATTTTACAGTCAGTCATATGGTTATTTAAACGCGAAAACAAGTTGCTTGCATATTTTTATACAGTTTGTATAAACCTTTCTAAAATCAATCGTTTTGCATTTGACACTCATCATTCGAAAGACTTTTTAGAGTCGCATCTTATTCTTATCGAAGTCAACCCGTATTTGACCTACGCCCCAAGGAATTCTATGCAACGATAAAAAGTTAACAATTTTTCTTTTTGCCGCCAGTTATTGGCAGTGAACAAAGAAAACCATTCAAGGGGTCACTAATTGAAAGGGCTGTCCATTCCAAAACCGCAGCTGTGATCGACTTTTACAATAGGCGCACAAGAATCAAATTTCTTGTTTTTGTCTTTGGCCGTCCCTGTTCGCAGTAGGGAGAAACAAAGGGCATATGGTTTTTGCGAAGTCCGCGGAGGAAAGTCGCAAGCATGCCGTCGACTTATCTCTGGCATGCGTGCGGCATGTAACCGGCATACTCTACAAACAAACAAAAGGTAATCAACGCACTTGCTTATTCCCTTACAAGATTTGACCCAGATGACAGAAGAATTATTTTGATGAAGGATTGAGGATGAGAAATAAAGATTCTTCATTTGAATAAGCATAACCAAGTACCCGCTTGCACTTTTCTAGTCCAAAGTTACAAAAGATCATAAAAGTCTTGGATCCTTACAAACAGTTATTGCATTCGTGAACAGCATGCTTTACCCGCTGTGCCAACTTCCAGCCCCGTAGCTTGAACTTTGCAAAAAATCGATAAAATCGATAAAATAACGAGTAATTTTGAAAACTAATATCATATTTGTAATCAGCATGCTCGATTATCCCCCCGTGCCAACTCCCAGCCCCATAGCTCAAGCTTTCCAAAAAATCGATAAAATCGATATCGATCGAGACGAAATGTAGCCTGTGACACCCGCCCGGCCCCGAAGTGTATGTGTGTAAAGATTGGTTCGGATCGGTTCAGAAATAAAAATTTCTATTAGTAACATACGTACATACCAGTGGCGTACCCAGGATTTCGGCTCGGGGGGGGTGGGCGCGACAAAAAATTTTTTCTAAAGAAGGTGCGTGGCGTTAGCCACGCACTCCGAAAAAATCTTTGGGGTGCTTCTCAAAATTTTTCCGGGTCCCCGACCCCTAAAATCTGGAAAAAGGGGGCGTGGCGTCAGCCACGCCCCCGAAAAAAATTTTTATAAGGCTAAAACGAATTTTTAAAAAATTTTAAAAATTATTTTAATTATTTACAAGTAAAAACAAGTCACTTGCACATTTTTATAACCCATGTAAGTAACTTTCAAAAATTTCGCGACCCATTCTCGGGGAAAGTGATTTGAAAAGTTTGGAATTTCTCGTCTAACAAATGGTAAATTTTTTTAGCTTTACACCCTCTATGCTGACAGCACAAGCAAAGAATTCAAGCGAGAAGGGAGGGGAAGGGAGACAAAGGTCAAAGGGGACTTCGTAAAAATTCCAGTTGGTGCCATTGCATCGGAATGACGGCGCTGTTGTTACATTGCAAAGGGGGCAAGTCGATTCTGCAAGCAGATAGAAGTATTGTGTCAGGTTGTTGGCAAGTTCTTTGATGGACAGTGCCTACAAGGAAGTGGAAGTGCTTACAAGGAAGTTAGTCAAAGTGACTTTTCAACATAAGATGTATGTGCCTTGGAAGGTATGAAACGCAGATTCCAAATCTGCGTTTCTCATCTGCTGAGAGTTTCTTAGAAAGGAGCTATGAAGGTTCTTATGGGCAGAAATTTCAACATAACGGTGTAAAATTACAACTTGACTTTTCCTAGCATTCAAATGAGGCAGTGTTGAGTGGATGTGTCTTCAGTGAAAATTACTGCACGGAGTGAACCATTATCACAACAATTATTCAAGCCACAATATTGCAACTCACTTGGTCTTAGGTGCACATTCAAATCTTCACAAAAACCTTCATAGCTCCTCGCTCAGAAACCCGCAGCAGATAAGAAAGGCAGATATCAGCGTTTCATATCCTTCAAAGTAGTATTCATTTTATATCGATAGGCCACTTCGACTAACCGTCTCTTCCTCGTGAGCGTTTAATGAAAGACAGTCAAAGCAATCTTTCTCTACCACTCGTATAATCGCTATGCTTTTGAATACACTGGGCGAACATAATCTGATTTTCTGTCGTGGCGTCCTAAAGTTCCTATTTCTTGCGGCATTCACAATACTTTGGGTTTCTGCAGATCAGAATGGTGTTTGGGCGGCGTGGTTATGCAGCAAAGCCATGCCGCATTCCCCTGTGGTATGACCTGGAGGTCATCCGCGTCATGTCTTTTTTGATTGCAACCACAAAAGAGTTAGCACTGACTAACAGAGTGGGCTTTTCGCTATTTCTGCTCGCAATCCCGCTGCGTGTAGAGTTGCGCATGCGGGCGCACGGTAAACCAAAAATAAGGAACGAAGTGAAAGAAAAGTAGAGAGTGTAGTAGACAGAATATATCGAGATATCTAGAACAGAATAAATGGATAAAAAATTAAAAATTATTTTACGGATTTTAGGAAAGAACCTGGAACAGATTTTGAGAAAGAAGATGTTCGCCTCAGAAATTCGAACATGAAAGAATATAGAAAAGAAAGAAAACAAAGTCGAGCTTTTTAAAGAAAGTCACTGTTGGGGATTTTCTGTTTCTCTTCTCTACTACTTCTCGCGTTTCTTCCTCTCGAACATCTTTTTGCTCATATTCTGTCTTGGTGCGTCCCCGAAGCTCAACTATTCCTACTCTATACCTTCAATGCATTCATACTGTTCCAAACATTTCAGTAGGTAGCAATATTGAGTGACTCAATCCGCTGGCAGTAGCAACGCCAGCCCTCCCGCAGCTGCAATCAAGGGTGAAGCAGCACATGGGAGGAGAAAGGGAGGGAGGCTATGCGAAATGAAGTATGTGTCTTCCTTTGGGTCGGGAACTCTATTGTGTTACTCATTTCTTGAAACGTTGCTTCCTATGCGCGACATTCGTCAATATCTGAAGTAGTTTGCTTGGAGTGAGATTGTGGGATTTATTTGAAAATGTCCAGCGCGATGCTGTAGTTTTGTACAAGCAGAGCCACGACTAGACTGTAGGGCTCTTTTGCTAAGCAAGGCTTCAAAAACAAGAATTTGATTTTATGATCTCCTTTGTTCCCTACCAAAGTCGTGAGCCATGTAACCCGGCGTAGTCGAGCAATTTACCATTACATATTGAATTTTGAGCCTGTTTGAAATTGATGCGTTGGTGAAGTTTGTCGGAATTTTCGCAGAGTTGTGGTTGCTCCTCTTATGTGCCAATTCTTCATTATCTGGGGGTAAAGAAAGCTTTTGCTGAAGAAGCTCTATGTCCTAGGAGTTGAGCACGTCATTGATTTTCCTAGTAGGTCGACGCCTTCTCAATGGCAGTACTTTAACCACCACACTTCTTTACAAGATTAGTAAATATGTTCTCTTCCTGAGTCTGAGCGCGGAGTCGGCCAGTTCTTGTCTTTTCGCATTTTAATGTGAGCGCTGTGCAGCTGCAAACTTGCTCGGCTAAATCAGTCCTAAAGTCTGAAAGCTCTCCATTTTTGAGATGGTTGAATTAAGGATCGTTTTCGCCAACGTCGTAGCCATCGAGGACTTCCTATCTCTGCGCAAGATGGGAAGCCTCTTTTTCGCGATCCCGACTCAACGACGTGTACTCGCACTGTTTTCTGGGAGGAGCGCAAAAGGAGTTGCAGCTCTAAACTTCAAGAAGTTGTAGGGTCCTTTTCAAAGAGCCCGCAGTCTTTGTGCTCGGAAGTGTTTGTTATCTTCGACGGCGTACTTATATAAATTACGTCAATGACGTCTGTGGAGCCTCATTTTTAAAACATTACCACTCCGCAAAAACAACAGCAAGGAATTTGATAGGATTACAGAAAAGCGACATCGTGCTAGAAAGAATAGTGACTCTCACCTAACCATTCAGATCAGTCATCGTGTATGATTGATCAGTTGAAAAGGTGTTTTCTATGGAATACAGACTATAATCGGGTTGAGGAAAGAACTATGATGAAAGCAAAATACTTTGAAGAAAAGACGTTATTGTTCTATATTATATATCATGTATACGTAATAGCGCCGGGGTAAGCTGGAACAATTTGATCGTGCTGGAACTTGTTAAAGAATGCTACATACTTAAGGCAGATAGAACAGCTGAAATCTATTTTTAATGTTCAAGTTTCCAAAAAATTCTGTATTTTTGTGTATTGGAGAAAGTCTAGTTCTACTTGACCCTCGGATATGATCGTGCAAAATTGATTAATTTTTTGATTTTAGTTCTAATTTTTTCGAAAAAATTTTCTGAACGGGTGTGAATCAGAAGATATCCCAAATCGCTGGCAATTGTTGCTAAGCGAATAATGCCATTGTTTAGAAAAAGAGAATAACTTGTAAAGACACCTCTAGCATAGTACTACGTTATAAGCGACGGACTAAAAACTGTTTTCAGAAAAAGGCAATTTCCGAACGTGTCAAACAGGATGATGATCCGATGATTGAACTAGAAATGCACGACGGCTTCAACTTGATAATAACATGGAATTTCAAAACTTCAGATGGTTCAAATTACGACTTAAAGTTAATTAAAAAATTTTTCCTCCGTCAGTTTGTAAAGGTAAGCAAACTATGACTATTGATTTACACGAGTTTCGACAGTTTAGGAAAGGGGAGCTGAGTTCTACACCAATAAAACTCTTGTCAGTGATGCAAGTCTCAAAGAATATAGCTTTGGGGTAACCTTTTTGCTATTTTAGCTTCACTGCAATAATCATTCTTGAAAAAACTTTATTTTCGTGTCTTGAAAGCCAGTAAGCGAGATTTGTTCTCGCAAAAAGAGGCTCGGCTGCTTCTAAAAACGAGACTTTTTTGGTAGAATACCCTCGTTCAGCAAATTTTCTTGAATGAGCAAGCTTCGGCTTTGCTGGAAAAGAACAGGAAGTCTCACCATCTTTAGAGCAAAACTAGCTTCCATAAAATCAGCTGAATTTTCTACGTGAGTATCTACTCTGAACAAACTATTTTTGTATAAAATCTATGGCGTAGAGAAATAAATCACTTTGAAACAAATCTCGAACGTTTTAGAGCAGAACTTCTGGGAGAGAAAACTTTTGTTTGATAATGATTTCTATGAAACGTGGTGGTCGCTTCAAAAAGGTTACATTTATGCTTATGAAGGACAATGCGCTGGAAGGGAAGAGAAAGAAAGTGATTCTCTTTAGAAAAAACCTTTTGCCGTCTGGGGGAAGGAGTCTATCGCAGAGAACAGCATTTTTAACCGGAATTTTCTCAAAATGTACTTAGTGTCCATCTTTTGTCCGTTCTTCACCACCGTCCCACCGATGTTTCGTTTCTGTGAAGTAATCTGTGACTGAATGATAAATAGCTTATTCTTTCGCTCAACAACTGTTTTATCCACTACCGATCTGGCAGAGAATCTTCTGGAATGAACAGTTTTCATGCATCTCATTCGACGGTCAATCAACGGGGAGTGGAATCACATTTTTACATTTGAGCAGGAGGATGGCACATTGCTTATGGAAGCAGTGTGAGACTTTACAAAGCAAAGGTGAACACATATGTAAGGATAGCTGCATGGATTATGCTTAAAGGGTCATAGATGTTTGCCGAGAGTACAGCTGATTGTCCTAACCTCGTAGACTATCACAAAACCGTTGACAGCGTCAAAACCATGGCCATCCTGCCCGCATAGTCGATCAAGAGTAAACCCGATTGCTGTAAGGAAAGACTGTACATTTCATGCCATCTTCCCCCTCCCCCTCCTCCTCCCCACAATCACAGCTGAAAAGAAGCCAACAATGCAACACAATTTACCGCGGCCTTTAGTGTGTTGTGAAGTCATTAAAGTGGGAAGAGGGAAACATAGGAGTTGATAGAAGATTTTTTTCTAACCTTTGCGAATGAATTCCTTTCCTTTTGAGCAGTATTATTGAGGCAGAGAGACGATCTCAGACAGCGGATAGGACCCCTCCGCCGGAGAAATGGCAGGGCCGCGGGATTTCCCCAGCGGTGGGTCTGCCACTCGTCCGCCGGAGCCCTCCCATTTCTGCTCCGGAGACCTCCCATTTCTGCTCCGGATACCTCCCATTTTCTGCTCCGGAGACCTCCCATTTTCTGCTCCGGATACCTCCCATTTTCTGCTCCGGAGACCTCCCATTTTCTGCTCCGGATACCTCCCATTTTCTGCGGCGCGGCTCTTCCAAATCTGGCGGACTCGCGCCGGGCAAATTTCTCCGGCGCGGCTCTGCCAAATCTGGCGTATCTCCGGAGCAGAAATGGCGTACCTTTGCAGCAGGGCCGGAGAAGCGTCCCACTTGCCTGCCAGTGATGTCACCGCGACCTACAAGAAGGGACCGCCCATTTGCCCCGCTCTCATTGGTCAACTGGGTCCGGCGCGACTCTGGCAGATTCCGACTGTCCGGCGGAGGGGTCCGGTCGATTGTCTGAGATGCTAAAGGAACGAAAAAAGGTAAAATATCAGGTTGTTTATATAATGAAAGAAGACTTAGCCTTTGCAAAATGTCCTTTGTAAAGATGTGAGAGTGGAATTGGACAGCTCCATTGCAAAGGCGCCTTCTCATGTAATTTGGACGTTCGACGGACAGCAAGAACAACTTGAGGAAAACTTGACAGCACAAAAAGAACAGGCCGTTCGGCTTCTCAGGAAAGCCACTGAACAAATGACGCCTCCGAGCCCACCTGGTTTGACTTGTGAGACATGAGCCGATACCAGTGGCGGTTCCAAATTCGCTGCGGTGGGGGGGGGGGGAAGGAGCAAAATTCTTCGCTCTCCAAAGATTCTTGAGATGATCCGACAGCCCCGAAATCTTAGGAAAGGGGGCATGGCGGCAGCTAAGCTCCGAAAAACTTTTTTACAAGGCTAATTTTAATCTTAACAATTTTTGAAAATGTTCTCATTATTTACAAGTACAAACAAGTTATTTACATATTTTTGTAACGTTTATAAGCCCAGTTCCAAAATTTTCCAGCCCCCCCCCCCATACTGTAAAAACGTCGAAAGCTTTGACTAGGTTCATACTGATGCGGAAGCTTTGGAATTTGGACTTGTGCTGGAACTGGAAGCTCTCAGATACATTACGCAGAACGGCCCTCATTCTCCGTGCCCACATCACGATAAAGGCCTTTCTCATCAAAGGGGTTGCGGTGTAGCAGAATGAGACCGGATCTAATGAAGTCCGAAAGAAAACCGTTAGAAATGGTTATAATCTTTAACTCCCACGCTCAAAACCGCATGCAGGCGGCTGCTGCACAGTGCGAGAACTCCGAGTTGTTCCGGAACATCTCAGTATGGTCCCTGCCTTTGCAATTGATGATTGAACACATAAAGTTTGAGCGCTGTCGTTCTGGTGTCTGTCGTACCCGGCACAAGCAGCTTTCGACGGACTTCGGAGTATGGATATATGAAAAAATGTACGCTATTCATCATTCAGTCACAGAATACTTCACAGAAACGAAGCATCGGTATGACGGTCGTGAAGAAAGTTTTGAGGAACACATCTGTAAAAAAGACTTTATACTCATAAATCTGTACAAATGTATTAATTAAGTAAGGTCTTGAAAAACAGAACTAGACCGTTGCTGTAGTACTCCAGATAGCACAAACTTTTCTTCTCGTTTCTTCCAAAAAGTTCCGGAATTTTCAAAAAAGGGGTGTTCGTACAATTATGAACCGCACTTCTCAGACAGCCTATCGGACCCCTCCGGCGCAGAAATGGCAGAGCCGCGGGGTTTCCCCAGCGGTGGGTCTGCCACTCGTGCGCCGGAGCCCCCCGATTTTGTGCTCCGGACCCCTCCAATTTTCTGCTCCGTGGCTCGTCCAAATCTGGCGGACTCGCGGCGGGCAAATCTCTCCGCCGCGGCTCTGCCAAATCTGGCGTACCTCCGGAGCAGAAATGGCGTACCTTTGGAGCAGATCCAGAGAAGGGTTCCACTCGCCTGCCGGTGACGTCACCGTGACCTACAAGAAGGGACCGCCCCCTCGCCCCGCTCTCATTGGTCAACTGGGTCCGCCGCGACTCTGGCAGATTTCGACTGTCCGCCGGAGGGGTCCGATCGATTGTCTGAGTTTGTCTGTGTATTCATGTGTAAACAACTGGCCTACGGCTTATTCATCTCTGTCCACTTATGACGGACATTAGTTAGTAATAATCTCTACCATTCCAAAGCACACGACAACTTTGTAAGAAAAATCACCTTTCTTTGGGATTTTTGAGGGTCTCAATTAACGAGTGACCGGAAGGCACGGTATAGCAAGTAAATTTAACCCGAGTTTGGGCCGCTGCGAAGTAGTGGTGATGCAGTGGTATGATACATATTACGTTGATGCGAGAAGAACGCATGTTTCATAGACTACCACGGCAAGAAAAAGAAAGCATGCTCTATAAGATGTCGTTTCAATTTTTGCAGTCGCCAGAAGATTGATCTTCTGAAGTTCAAAGCCAAAATCCAAGTCGAAAAATAGTCAAACTTTTTTTTCAAATTAAGTAGACCGTCAGATCTTTACGTTTTTGTTTTTGAAATGAAAAAGCTTTTGCCGGAAGGTGTAGCTTGCATCAACATTTTCATGGAAATGCGATTATGCATTTTCATAAGAATAGTTGATGCAAGCATTCCAATTCTTGTGCAATCGTTGAATAATTGAAGATTGCTCTCTCTCTGTAAAAAGAAAAAAGCTCTCCAATGGAAGTCACCAAGCTCCTGTGACAAAACTTTCGGAATGAATACCTCTTTTTCGAGATGCGCGGCATCATTGTACAGGCCTCTAATGAGTGCTTGTACACGTAAAATATTAATTAAGGTTTTTTATCGAACTCCAATTTTCACATTCAGATAAGAATTCCTTTCACACACAACGAAATTACAGCTATCTCCAAAGTATTTGTTTTCTTTGGATTGTTATTATTTTGCAATAGACATAACACTCGTAAACGATCGTAATGTCTACTCGCGCACGGAAGAAAAATGCTATGGTAGGCTATAAAGACTTGGAAACGTTTTGCTCAGTCATGTTTTCAGGATTCACCTCTCCCAGCTATATAATCGCCCTAGCTCTTGCTCTGATAATTCTTTGTATAGCGATTTTGTGCTGCAGACGATGTATCAAGAAGGTAAGCTGGTGACTGTTTGCAACAATAATTGTGGCAATGCAATGTGAGTTTGGAGCATAAACTAGATGTCAAAATTTCTAGTTTTATTGAGAAAAAATGATGTGATAACTAGAGAATACATGCTGTTTACTCAAACATCAAGTCTATCCAAGGTGTTACGAAAGTAACACTTCCAAAGCTGGCATGAGGTGGCTTTTTCAATTTTCTATAAACGAAGTCCCCCTGGACTTCTTCACAAAAATACTACATCGCCTATGACGCGATCATAAATGGATCAAAATGAATAACGAAAAATGATGGAAAGCATAAAAACAACTTGAACAGAAAAAAAAGAACTGAAGATGTGCGTATTCTCCGAGTTGGCGGCATGCTGTGTCTGGCGCGCACTCTTGCGCACTTGAAGCAGGCTTGCCGGCGTCATACAAAATATTTCGAGAGTTGTGACTAGGCGAGGAAGAAGGGGTTTTATAGATTTAAAAACTTGGTTGTAGGTTTTTGATGTAAAACAAAATTATGTTAAACATGTAAGAAAATTATGTGAAGGAGGGGAAATTTATGACTTTTTCTTTTTACAGCCACCTCAGATGGCTATCCATGTGGCTTAGCCATCTAACTCCGAAGAAAGTTTGCCACGCCTTCAGTTCATATAATTTTATCATAATTTTTCGTACAGGTTTTAGCTTCCTAGTGCCCATCTACACACCAATTTTGGTGTCATTTCATTTTTCAAGCGCTGTAAACAAGTCTTTTGTTTTTTCGGGGCAGGTTTAAATTCGCGCGCTTAACCGGCGAACTTGTTGAAACAGGAAACTTTTGGTTTTTGCAAGAATGGGATCGATAAGGCAGAAACGACAATTCGCTCCTCTGTAGAAAATGAAAGATGACATGAAGGAAGAAGGCGATTATGTGTGTGGGGAGGGGGGGGGGGTTCGCTTAAACTTTATTCCCTTGCTTTTTTTCCAAAACGATATCCAGCTTGTCCAGGCTGGATTCCGAAGCACATTATGCATTAGAATCTCAAACTTCCCACTTTTGAAGGCAGTGTACAGGCAAAAAGTCGACTTCAAGATTGTGCTTATCCGGGCCTATTCGTCATGCTGAACTCGATAAACCACATGGAGTGCGCGAAAATGCCGAAAAGGCCCTAATGCAGGAGGGAAATCGCAGGTGGGCGGGGCCGTTCACACCGTGACGTCACTCTCCCAGGCTTTATAAGCGATCTTCTTGGTTCCGATTTTATGTCATGTGTTTCGCAGATAGCTGGTGGTGATGTTAGGGTGAGTAGAGGAAGCGAGAAGATCGCTTCTGAAGCTGGGAGTGTGACGCCACTATGTGAACTGCCCCGCCCACCTGCTATTTCCCTCTTCCGTTAAAGCCTTTTTTCGCCGTTTTCGCACTCTCCAGTGTTGATTTTCGGATTCAGCATAGCGAATAGGCCTAGGTAAGCAAAAAATCTCGAAATCGGCTTTTTGCTTGGACATTGTCTCTAACCGTTCATAACTTTTTCTAGATCCGCGCAGCATACGTGGAAGGTAATGCATGCATTCACATCTTCGCCGTGGGGTAAATCGCAGCTCAAAGGAATGGTCCATATACTGAAGCTCCATATACCTGAAATTTACGTTTTTACCCATCCGTAAATATTCCTGCTACCCTTTACTATAAACATGTGAACAGGAGCGAAAAATTGTACAAGCCGCAATTTCCAGAAAAACTTTTCTTTCTTTAAATCAACGAGAACATTGAAATTGTGCTGATTATCTGACCCAACAGTGCTAAGCATGTTGCTGATAAGGACAAATGAGTTATTAGATTATTAAATTTTTCGGTAGACCTCAACTTCCTTCATAAACTCAAATATAATTTGTTCTTATCAAAAACAGTTGAGCACTTGCTTGATTTTATATATTGAGTTGGTTTATAATTTATGCACGTTTTCATAAATTAGACTTTTAATCAAGATAATTTCCAAAACAATCTTTCTAAATGCACCAAAAACTGTTATAAACAGTAAACTTTTGGCTATACAACGTACATTGCGTGTACTCACCACGGGAAGGGTATTCTGATTCAGAAATTTCCGAAATTTTTTTCTGAAAAGCTTTAGTTTGAGAAAACATGAAATACAAAGGCACTAGAATGGAGCAGACTTTGCTCATTAATAGCCTAGGGTCGATTGAATAGTAGCGTGAGACTTAAGTTTACGGAATTTTTTTAAAAATAAAGTATTGCCAAGAGAGCGAAAGTATTCATTCTTTCTACCTTCTAAAAAAGGCAAAAACCGCGTTTATAAATTTCTTTAACTTTTTCCCATCTAAAAAACGAGGAATTCCTGCCGTTTTTCTGTCATTAGTAGTATTAGGTTTACCCTATCTACACAAAGCGAAACTTCTGCAATCGCTTTTCACCTAAGATTTCTATACAGCTCAGAATGGTCCCAGCAATTGGCTAAGTTTGAGTCATAGCTTTTCGGCTCAAGATTTTTTTAAAAATTTAGCGTCGGTTAGCATTTTGTAACAATAATTTTGCGATTGTAGGACATATTTTTAAAAAGGAATCGGAGCATTTTTCATGGATTTAGAGCAGATAGAATGGAGGGAGAAAATTTTAAGCTTTTGTCCCTTAACTTTGAAAACACGGAACTTTTGTTTGAACAAAGACTTCTCAAGACGAAAGTATCCATGAAAATTAGAAGAAGCGGGATTTCACGAATATAAAGTTTCCGAGAAGAACGGTTCTACTTCAAAGACTAGCGTTTGAAAAAAGTGGTAGGAAAAAGTGCATTAATTATGAACCGACTTAATATAAATTGAATGTCTGTTTGTCTGTCTGTCTGTATGTCTGTATATCTGTCTTCGTAAGCTGCTTTTCATTGATCGATATCTATTTTTTTGGAAAGTTTGACGTGCGGGGTTGCGAGTTGCCACAGGAGTGGGGGGGGGGGGGGGAAGGGGGTAATCAAGCATGCTGATTACGATTACAATATTAGTTTTCAGAATCATCCGTTACTTCGATTAATTTTATCGAATTTGCAAAGTTTGAGGGGGCTGTGAGTTGTCACAGGGGTGGTAATCGAGCATGCTGATTAACTCCTTCCCCCGAATACAATATCAGTTCAAAATTATCCATTACTTTTATAGATTAATTTTTGTTACAAAGTTTGAGCTACAGGGCTGGTAAGTGGCACAGATGGGTAAGTGAGCATGCTGAGTACTAACACAGCGGGAATGCGGAATTGGCATGTAAAAGTGGGCACAGGGAAAGGTTGTACAAAGAGGGATGGGACCTTTATCATACTGTGACAGGGCCAGGCGGAGCCTTAAACCAGCTACTCAGATAAACGCCGGGGGCAGGCGGTCATGCGATTTATGGGCAGGCGGGCATCGGAAAAATAGTTCACTAATTATTTGCGGTCCGCTGCAGATACTTGGAAGAATTTTGGCCAAATTTTAGACGAATGCTCGGAAAAACATTTCGGCTTTTTCATAGTTGCGGCGCAGTGACCGCATTCTGGCGGACCTTCCGCGAGAATATGCAAAATTATTAGGGCCGCACGGTCCTTTGTGAAGGAGCACACAGCCCGTAGGTACTTTCCGTTGCGAGAAAGTATCTCAAACTCGGATAAAACCATCAATGACACCTCTGTTATGTAGAGCGTTACCTTTGCTCGGCGTAAGCCCGAAACTGCGTAAAAAGAGTCAAACGTGTGTGTCCGAGCGCCTGCTAAAAGTTTGGCAGCGCTCGCTGAAAGAGATTATTTGACGAGCGCATGCAATTTTGTATTGCTGCCCGTTGGCAGAACACGGAAGTACCGCTCACTGAGGGTTTGGCCACGCTCCAAAATTATTCTGACCGCTTGCAAAACCGTGGGTTTACGGAGGCCTGCCCCCGGCGATTATCTGAGTAGTAATCAGCAGAACTTTGGCGCGTTTTCCTTGATTTTGAAGAGAGAAAAATGATTTGAAGAAAAGACGGTCTTCTGCCGGAGATCATCCGAAATCATGAAACGTTCCAAAATTTAGCTTGTAACTCCTGTTCAATATGCTTATAGTGAAGGATATTGGGAATATTTCATGAGAAGTAGAACAGCAGTGGGGTGCCTAGGATTTCCATATAGGGGGGGGACGAAACTTTTTTTTAGAACAGAGGTGCGTGGCGTTAACCACGCACTCAATCGCGCCCTTGAAAAAAGATTGTTACAATGTTAGTTTGAAATTTTGAATTTTCCAAATCTATTTTAATTATTTACAAACGTAAACAAATCACGTGCGCATTTTTACCTATGCAAGTGATTTTGAAGGTTTCGCGACGCATTCACCGGGGGGGGGGGGGTACGCCACTGGTAGACCAATAAAGGATATTCGTCGACGGCTGCCCGATTCGTGCATTTGCACCAACATGGGCGTGCCTTTTTGGAGCCTTTCCAGCTTGACAGTACGTTGCAGCGCGCCGGGAGTTGGTAGATCGCAGCAACACTGTCCTTTAGCTTCTTTTGTTGTTTCAAGCGTTCTACATCTTCTTTTCTTCTTAATTTCTGTATTTGAGTCAATCATTCGTTCCCCCTTCTCTTAATATCCTCGATGTTCAAATATTCTACGCCCTACTTTGATGAATACTGAAAGGTAAGGAAAAAATTTGTTTAGGCACATTTCCAGACTTCCGCTTCCATTTTACTTACCAAACATTATTTTTCAAAATTGTGAATCATCGCCCCGAGCAAGATTGAAATGTTGAAAGGGTGTGCTTTGTTATAAGCAGTGGTGGCTATCATGGAGAATTTCTTTGGATGAGACCACTCTAATATTTACTTCAGGTTCCCTACTGGTGTCCCTGATGAAAGAGTGCTGAAGTAGTCACTTCAGTGGTCTGTTCTAGAGAACATGTCAAATTATTACAAAACATTCAAGAAAACATGCAATCCAAATCATATCATGCATGATCTCCACCACTGCAGCTACAAAAAGGCTCATTCTTTCCTCTAACTTCGCTCACGGCGATGGTCTCACAGAGGCATTAGAATGGGTGATTGCCTGAAATGAATAA